CTCTGAAGAGCAAGGAAGTGAGGCGTCATAAGCAAGATGCAAGGTATTCTCTACCTGGGGAAGCTGAGGTGGAACAAGGCAAAGCCGGGGTTCAATTCATAATATCACATACATGTTGTTTATCTAGTTATCTGCCAAAGGATAGTTGTTTCTACCTTTCGACTATAGGGAGTAATGCTGTTAGGAATACAGGTATACATGCATCTATTTAGGCCCCTCATTTTTAATTCTTTAAAAATTAAAAAAGTTTGAGGTGGGGGGAGAGGGAGAGGGAGAGGTATGTGGGCATACACTGTGCATGTGGAGGTCAAAAGACAACTTTGTGGAGTCAGTTCTTGCTTTCTACCTTTATGTGGGTTCTGGGAATCAAACTCAGGTAATCAGGATTACATGGAAAGCACTTTTACCTGCTGAGCCATCTCTCTGGCCTCCTATTGAACAGATACCCAAACTGGCTAGGTTATAATGTAACTCTGTTTCTAATTTTTTTTTTTTTGGCTTTTTGAGACAGGGTCTCCCTGTAGCCACAGCTGTCCTGGATTCGCTATGGAGACCAGGCTGGCTTCCAACTCACAGAGATCTGCCTGCCTCTGCTTCCCAAGCACTGGGATTAAAGGCGTGCCCCACCATGCCTGGCTCTGTTTTTAAGGACTGCCATTCTGATTTTTACAGTGGCAGTACCACTTTACTTTCCCACCAACACTATACAAAGGTTCCAAATTCTCTGCAGCCTCACCAACCCGTTATTTTCTGCTTGCTTTTATTTTTAAAATTTGTGTGTGGCGGGGGGCACATGTGCACCACAGTATGCATGTGGATGTCAGAGGACAACTTGTAGAAGTTGGCTCTTTTCTCTAAGTGGGTCCTGGGGACCAAACTCAGATCCTTTCTATCTACTGAGCCATCTTGACAGCTATTTCTTTTGAACAGTAGTCACTGAGGCAGGTGTAAAGTGGCCTCTGGAAGTAGTATTTATAATTTGAGACAGGGTCTCAAGTAGGCCAGGATGGCCTTGAATTTTATATGTAGCAGAGTATGATCTTGAATTTCTAATTCTCCTACCCCTACTTCCCAAGTGCCAGGATTATAGGCATGTGCCACCACATCTGGCTCAAAGAAGTTTTGATTACTGCAGTGCCAGAGATGGAATGGTCCTGGGCATGCTGGACAATCCGTATCACCGAGCTGCAATCCCAGCCCTCGATTCATATTTTTAAGTAAGTTTCTTCAGGCAAGGTATAGTGGTATACTCCCATAATCCTGACACATGGGAAATGGGAAGTAAAAGGATCACGAGTTGGCCGGGTGTGGTGGCGCAAGCCTTTAATCCCAGCGCTTGGGGAGGCAGAGGCAGGTGGATCTCTGAGTTCAAGGCCAGCCTGGTCTACATAGTGAGTTCCAGGACAGCTGGGGCTACAGGGAGACCCTGTCTCAAAAAGACCCCCCCAAAAAAGGATCATGAGTTCAAGGCCCTGCCTCATCTATATACAGAGTTTGAAGCTAGCCTGGATACATGAGATCCTGATGCAAACAAGACGTAACAAAAAAAGTTTTATCAAGTGAGAGTGCACATTTAAGTGGGCAGTTCAGTGGCTCTGCATCAATCTTAGCACTTTCATCACCTCAAAAGAAAACCCTGTACTCCTTAGAGGCACTTTCCAGCTTCCTCAAGCCTTCTCAACCCTTGGCAGCCACCAATCTGCTTCTTAACCCTGGATCTGCCAATTCTGGGCACTCCATATGAACACATATATGGGGTTTTGTGTCTGGCTTCTTTCACTTAGCATCATGCTTTTACCTGGAATAATGCTGTACCAATGCCTTACATGTTAGCTTCTGATGAATTTGATATAATTTTAAAAAACCCAAGTAAGCTGGGGGCGGAGGGAAGGTTACCATCCAGCTTTAATCCCAGCACTATGAAGGCAGAAGCAGGGGGATCTCTGGGAGTTTGAAACCAACCTGGTCTTCATGGTGAGCTCTAGGCCAGCCAGGGCTACAGTGAGAGACACTGAGCTGGGGAGATGGTTCAGTGGTTAGGATTACTTGCTGCTCTTTCAGGGGACCGATGTTCTGTCCTGGTACCCATGTGGTAGCTAACAATGGTCTGTAACTCCAGTTCCAGGAGATATGACTCCTTCTATGAGCACTTGCATGCATGCAGGCGAAACACTCATATACATTAAAAAAAAAAACAAAACCCTAGAGTTATCAAAGGCTCTGCACACCAAAAGATCAGCAGGGTTTTTCTTCTGATGGAGGCCTGATAGTTGACCCTTTTGTTGTTTTGAGACAGGGTCTCTCTGTAGCCCCAGATGGCCTGGAACTTGCTATGTAGACCAGGCTGGCCTTGATCTCACAGAGATCCACCTGACTCTGCCTCCTGAGTCCTGGGTAGGAGTAAAGGTGTATGCCAACATGTCCAGTGTTAAAAGTTTTATGTTTAAAAACAAAACAAGGGGCCAGCAAGATGGCTTTCAGACCAAGGGACTTGCCACCAAACCTGAAAATCTGGGTTCAATCCTTAGGATTCATATGGTAGAGAGAGATAATCAACTGCCACAAGTTGTCCTGACTTCTACAAGCACATGCATGCCAAGGCCAGAGCAGGACATCAGGTGCCTTCCTCTATGGCAAGATATCTTATTGCCTTGAGACAGGGTCTGTGTTAAACAGATGTCTCAGCACCATCAAACTGCATCTCCTTTGTCTTGTGTTGGGGTTTGTGCCACACTTCTGTTCCAGCTACTGAGACTTGCCCGTGGGCTTATTCTTCCCATCAAGGGTCTGTCAGTTCTAGGAGCTGTAAGCTCTGGACAGATCCATACCCTAATATTTGTCTAAGATCAAAATATGTGCTTAAGGTTGCATCCTGGTCTCAAAAATTATACTTTCCTTAACAACTGCACAACTTTCAAGTTAGCAGGCCCCATTTGGGTTGCCATTTCTAACATCACTGAACCAGAACTCATTCTGGCTAGGCTGGCTGGTCAGCAAGCTCTCAGGATCCAGAGCAGTCTAAGCCTCTCCCCCCCAACGCCAATGCCAGAGTAACAGGTACACAGAGCCATACCTCACTTTTTATGTGGATGCTGAGAATTTGAACTCAGGTCCTCATGTTTGCAAAGCAAGGCCTCTTAGCCACTTATGCTATCTCCCTAGTACCCTGCTTCTTTTATAATGGAAAAAATATAACTTTTCTTTTGGAGACAGGGACTCTCACTATGTATACCAGGATGGCCTTGAATTCAGAGCTCCTTGTCTCTGAGTGCTGGGATTAAAGGCATGTGTAGCCATGCCCTGCTATAAATTTTTTCTTAAGTAGAAAAATCCCAACTGAGCACAATGGAACAAGCTTGTAGTATAAGCTATTCAGGAAGCTCCCCCCAGTGGGGGAGGGTCAAACTAAGGATGTAGCTCAGTAGTGTGCTTGTCTAGCCCTGCACAAAGCCCTCATTTGAGCCCTAGAATTGGATCAGAAGTCCAAGGTCATCCTCAGCTACAAATCAAGTTCTATGTAAGCCTGGAGGAGACTTGTCTCAAGACAACAACAAAACTCTTATTCAACAACCTGTATCCCTTGGAGAGTAGAGAACAGATAACCATGGGGGCCCTCATTGCTAAGGTAAGCAGGTAGCTCCCTTCCCACTCTAGTACCTGCCCTGTGCCAAAGAGAAGACAGAAGCAAGCGCCCAGTCCAACAGTTTCTGTGAGCAAGAAAGGTCTCCTGGCTGCAGGTTTTGCTGGTCTCATCCTATAGTCCTGCTGGGAAGAGGATAGTTCTATTTCCCTGTTTCATTCAAACAAGCCCTGGCCATGTTGCCCTGCACCATTTTGGGGGTCTGTAGACCCAGAAAAGAACTCAACCTTACTGTCTAGTTTATAGATCGGGGTCCCAGTTTCCCAAGCAGGGTTCAAGTGGGAGCTCATAACTAAATTAGCAAGGGACAGCACTTGGGCCTCTTGAACAACAGAGGCTGTTTCCATCATACCCAGCCAGCTCTGCCTGGGTACAACAGGTTCCCAAGCCATTGGTGGAAATATGTAATGACCTACAGGAGGAGAAAAACCAACAGCAGAGATGCTGAAGTCTCTTCTACACAGCCATCATCTGAAGAACTGTGGTGACAACTCAAGTGGTTACTGGTTTTCACCAGGGACTGTGCCCACAAAGCTGCTACTGGCACAGAACCCTAACAGGGGCAATTAGGAGGTTCCAGTGAGTGTTGGATCATAGAACTCTTCCCTCACTGAAGGCATGGCCACCCCAAACCACGCAAAGAAGCTTGGTTAAGGCTGGACCTCAGCTTGTTCCTCCTCCCTGGACACAGTCAGCTCTGCTCTCCTCAAAGGTGGCCTCCACTGGAATATGGCCTACAGAACTGAACCAGAGGCAAGAATCAAAGCAAATGGAATCCATACTGCTTGAGTGAAAACTAGAAAAATAGAAATGCACACCCAAAGGCTGGCCCTGCAGACCTAACCTACATACCCAGGCAGAGTACCACCCTCCACAGTAGTTGGAGATTAGATTTTAGTCTAAGTCCCAGGTCTATGAATTTCATCCAGATCAGGAGTAAATGAAAACTCCCACCACACACCAGAGCCAGAATGGGAGTTATTAAATGCCTAAAACTCCAGCTCTAAAAGAAAAGGATCAAAGCAGAAAGGCGGTCTATCACCCCAAGAATGCAAACCAACCTGTCCACATGGCTAGAAGGCAATCTGTTCAGCTGAAGTAGGCATAAACTCTACATCAGTTCACATGTATTCACAAATATGGCACAGCTTTCCTAGAGGAGGTGGGAGGGAAGGATGTGGAGGTAATCCATGATAACCCCAGGGGACTGGCTGCTTAACAAATGCAGGGAGAGACAGCTGCACAGAACAGGGGAGGGAAGCCTACACCCCAGGCTGCCCTGCATCATGATCAGATGCAGATCAAATACATCTTCATGTGATTATCACAAAAGGAACTCAGAGTACAGGGCTATACTCACATTCCAACAATCACGGAGAACTCAGGGATGCTCAGGGGCCCTGAGAGCAGCACCAAGTATCCCAAGAAAGGATAGGCAGGGCTGTCTGTCTGAGAGCTGGTCCAGGCTGGCACACAGGTGGCAGAACACAGATACCTGCTCTGTGTTCCTAGATGGGCAAATGTGCCTCAAAGACGCCGGCAGGACAAATGGCAATCTGTTTGCTGTGCTCGCTGCCAGTATGCTCAATTTTGAACAAGAATTCAGGTTACAGCTCAGAGTCTGATGTTCTTCATTACAAATACTGTTGGTTCCCTAGATTTAATGGAGTGGAGAGAAAAATCAACACACAAGCAGCTATCAGTTTGCTCCTTTCACCCCTCCTGTTTTAGATCAGCACTGTCCCTATCTACTTTTGCAGTGATGGAAAAGTTACTGATCTGTGCTGAGCCATTAGCCCAAAGTGAGTACTGGGCACTTAAAACATGGTCTGTGGGACTGAGGAGCTCAACTTTTCACTGTATTTAACGTGAACTTACATGTAACTGTAGCCTCTGAAATGCTATGATAAATTGTCATTCAGTTCTAGAGCTAGCCTGTGCTTTCTAGACTTAAAAAGCAGACAAAGCAAGAGCCACTGCATACTCTAAGCTGACAATCTAGCACCAGGTAGGGCCTTAAATATAACACATGCTCCGTGGTCCGCAGCCACTGGCTAATATGGTATCTGTTGAAACCACTGCCCTGCTCTAGTCCCTGCCCCAAATCACATAGCACTTCCTTCTGTTTCAGTATAAGGCAGGCAGCAAGGTGTGAGCACCAACTCTGGAAAGTGAAGCTGAAATTTGAGTCAGTCCAAATGTGACATGGAACAAAGTCATTTAGGAGCCATAAACAGCCTACTTGGGTCATGAGAGCCAATAATACACTCAGTCCTTACAATCTATGGTGCTGAGCATACAATTACTCTGGACTGCTCCACCCAGCCATGCCACCAACTGAGCAGGAATGGAGGGAGGTATGCACAGAAGTCAGCCAGGGCATGGGTTGTTTCCATGCCAGGCTCAGAGTGCGATCCTGAGAATGACTCCTCTGAAGAAAAATAGGGCTTGCCAGACACACAGAGGGGTGGCCTCCAGCCACTACACACTACCTAGATTGAGGGCAGACAGCAACTCTCAAACCATAAAACCAGATACCCATTCTTGGCAGACAAAGCATCTGCCTGCATGGGTAGAGCCTTCAGTTCTCGGCCAAAGGTCACAATCTAAACACCTACTGGGACCAGGCAGATAATCTCAATGAGTCAAGCTGTCAGGTGAGGAACTAAAGAGCACTTGACCCAAAGTAGTCAACCACTACGGAGTTTTACAATCTGTCTGTACTTAATTTAAGTCCCCTTAAAAACTGTTGAAGCTCAATCACCAAGGACTGGACTCATCCTATGGGTGGCTGGCTGACAAAGACTATTGTTTTTGTTTGAGACAGGGCCTCATTATGTAGACCAGGCTGGCCTAGAACTCAAGAGTTCTGCCTGCCTCTGCCTCCAGTGCTGGGATCACTGGAATATGCCACCTGCCTGGCCATGACAGTTTAGAATTAACATTTTCAAAACAAAGGAAAAATAATTCCCGAGATCTATTTTCTTAGGTCAGCTAGCAAGCTCTAGTACAGTGTTTGAGGCATCCATATTTGGCCCTTACAGTTGTTTGTATCTGATAAGAATGCAACTCTCTCATTAATGCCAAGTTTTCTAAGAAGGTTCTTCCCTATTACTAAGAGGCTTCCACTTGTATCATTAAAGATCCTGAAAGCATTTGCTAGTATTTGAGCACATGCAAACCACAGCTTCTTTAGATGATCTTATCTAAGAAATACTGAGTTAGAAAAACAAACCCTTTGCCATAGTTTTTCCAAGGACCTTGGATAATTTTGTATAACTGACCTAAAGAATCAAATGCAGGCTTATAACTACTGTTAAATATATAGAATCTTCTGGGACGAGAAAGCTCTCTGTGGGCAACAGCAAGGAACATGGGATGGAATCAGTCAAAGATGAATTTAGAATGGGTGAGATACAGAACTTTTGTGTTTGACAGTCCTCAGCTCACCAGAAAGACCAAAAATGTTTAAGACCAAACTTTCTTTCCTTCTGACCTCCACACCAAAGAGATCTTAGCAAATGGACAGGACAGTATAATTCAGTAGCTCCACGGATATATGCCCATCTCCCAAACTTATAGTGGCTTGAACGGTTTCTACTAACCTACTAGCTGAAAAATACTTTTCAGAAGGAAAATCTGCAACTTCAACATGAAGAAACACGCCAACTACTCTGGTCTTCGGGAAATTAATTATCTAAAAGAACGCCCACCGTGAAGAAACAAGCCTCTAGCGCCTCCACACGCATTGAGCAAGAAAGGTCACTTTAAAGGACTTCAGAGGTAGGAGCGCTTGCAGAGAGCCCTCATAGAGCTGCGAGGATTCCCCCCCCCCCCCCGCAAAGAAGGCGGCCAAGTTCAGGGCCTGGAGGCGCGCCCGGGACGGTGAGGCTTCCCAGCAGACGCCCGGATCGTACACCGCCCAGCGCAGCTTTCCCCTCCTTCTCTACCAGGAGCCTTATCCTCGCCATGTCCGGGGCCCAGGCCACGACAGCCACGTGCACGAGTCAGCTGCCCAGAGCCTCACGCCCCTCGGCAATTTAGCCTTGCGGCCCTTGGGGCCGCTTACCCGAGTGTGTGACCCGCCAGGCACCAATCGCCGCCCCTCCAAGCCGCACTCCCGGGTTTCCCGGACGATTGCGCCGGCCCGCTCCTCCCCGACCCAGGCCCCAAGGACTGGGCCCGCCCGCGGCAGGCACGCAGGTTGGGGTCGCGCGTGGTACAGAGGTTTGGTCCACTCGGCGCCCAGCTGCCGCTCGCACTCGTTAGCCCAGCTCACCTCTCTCGGGAGCCGCCGCCGCCCGGACCCAGACGCCTCCTTCCCCATGCGGCCATCTTGGAGACTCTCGGCTCACCGGGGGCTGGCGTCGACGCGGCTCGGGGCGCGCGGAGACCGAGGGGAAACGTAGTCCCGGGAGCCGCGTGCACGCAGCGGGCAGTGGCGAGCGGACTACGATGTCCACAATGCCGCGCGCCGGAAGCCTCCCGCGAGCTCCCGCGTCCAGCGGGGCGAGAGGTGGGCTCCACTAGAGGAACGAATCTGCTAGTCGCTGAGTGTGAGTCGTGGAGCCCACTGCCTGAATGTCCTCGGACTTCCAGAGCGAATAGCTGAAGGAGAGGGGAAAGAAAGCAACTACCACTCCCAGAGCGCCTAGCGCGGCGACCCCGCCCTCACGGCCTGCGAGGTCCTGTTCCTAGTTTAGGTCCTCTTGCCCTTCACAGCTGCCTAGGCCGCTGGGCCTCTGCATTTCAGTCCATCTCACATTTTACAGTGACCTGAGCTGCTTAACATCCCAACACTGTTGTCACCTGCAGAGTCGGTTCACGCATCCCTTGTTTGGAGGTTGCCTCTGCCTGTGCAATGTCAACACCCTCCTTCTATCCAAAATTTCCCAACCAAAATTTGCCAGGATGGCAAATTCAGATGGTTTGTGGGTCTGTAGATATGTCATGATTAACTTAAAATGCCGTTTCCCTACCCCATCTCTTGTGCTTCTAGACCTTGGACCTGTCTGGTTTCTAGTAAGTGCCTGGTTTTCAAGGTGGGTTCTAAAACCTGTCCTCCCAAGTGCCAAACCATATATATAAAACACTGTGCAAATATGGCAAACGAGTAGGATGTGGAGAGAGACATCAAGATTAAGGCATGAAAAAAGGCAGTTACCAGAAAAAATGGAAATCCTTCCCCACCTGGGCTGCATGTAACAGAGAAGGCAAGTGCTGTGTAAATGGACCATGAGATTCATGGCCCAGTGCTTTTGAGGTTGTGCCTTTTCCCAGTTCACTAGCTGGTTCCCACTCCCAAAGTGTCTTTCTTAATAAACTGTTTCTGTTACTAACCATGTGTCTCTGGCCCTAAGAAACAAGAACCTAGATACTTAAGCAGGTGCTTCCCAGGACTCTGAACTACACCTATAACAGCTGGTGAGCCATCCAGGAGGTAAAATCTATTGTTTCTTATTTCTTCCTTTTTACATACCCTGGAAGTGTATGTAAAATGGCGGGAAAGCCTCCCTGGAGCCCTGATCATAGGGTGGGGGTACCAGTCCTTTCTTATCCTTTACTTTTCTGTCTTTCCATCACCTGCAGTTGCCCTATAGCACTGCCTAGGGGAGTCCTGGACCCTCTCCTCTGCCCCTACTGTGATATGAACTGAGGAAAAAAAAAAGCATTGGTTAGGAGCCATTAAGCTCACACTTAAAACTGGGAAGCAGCTGCCCAGGTGGATTGGCATTTACTGAATGACTGGTAAAAATTTATGGTGTCTCAGTGCTGAATCCGGGAGATGCAGGCATCCCATTATGTTTCTGTGTTAGTTTCCTTTCCTTTCCTTTTCTTTTCTTTTCTTTTCTTTTTTTTCTTTCCTTCCTTCCTTCCTTCCTTCCTTCCTTCCTTCCTTCCTTCCTTCCTTCCTTTCTTTCTTTCTTTTTTTTTTTTTGGTCTTTTTGACACAGAGTCTTCCTGTAGCCCCATCTGGCTCAGAACTCACTATGTAGACCAAGCTAGCTTCAAACTCAGAGAGATCCACCTGCCTCTGCCTCCCGAGTGCTGGGATTAAAGGCATGCATGCGCCACCACGTCCAGCTAATTTCCTTTTCTATGACTGTGATAAGACTACTCTTGACAAAAACAACTTAAAGGAGAAAGGTTTTATTTGGTTCACAGTTCAGATTACAGTCCATCATGGCAGGGAAGTCGTAGCAGCAGGAGCTTGAGAGAACCAGTCACACAACATCCACAGTCATGAGCAGAGGGTGATGAATTAATGCATACTAGTGTTCGGCTCTCTTCCTCTGCTCTTACACAGTTCAGGACCCCAAGCCACCTATAGATCTTCTCACATCAGTTAATCATGACAATCCTCCACAGACATGCCCACCAGCCAGCCTAAATTAGACAATCCCAAACTGAGATGCTCTTCTCAGGTGATTCTAGATTGTGTCAAATTGACAAAACAACTCCACCCCTTGTCAGCTTGACATACAAACACATCACTTTAAGCCATAACCTTCTACTCCTTATTCCCAAAGTCCTATGTTTATCTCATAATAGAAAATACAATCAAACTTTTAAGGTCCTCATGGTCTTTAAAAATATCAACATGGGGGCTGGAGAGATGGCTCAACAGTTAATAGCACTGACTGCTCTTGCAGAGGACCCAGGTTCGAGTCCCAGCACCCACATGGTGGCTATGAACCGTCCTTAACTTCAGTTCCAGGGGAATCCTACACCCACTTCTGACCTCTGCGGCATTGCACGACATGAGTGCTCTCATATACATGCAGGCAATACACTCATAATACACATAAAAATAAAAATAATAAAATATTTTAAGAAATACATCAACATGTAGATCTCTGTGAGTTCAAGGCCAGTTTGGTCTACATAGTGAGTTTCAGGCCAGCTGGGGCTAGAGGGAGACCCTGTCTCAAAAAGACCAAAAAAAAAAAAATCTCAACATGTAGGCTGAAGAGATGGCTCAGCGGTTACGAGCACTGACTGCTCTTGCAGAGAACCCAGGTTCAATTCTTAGCACCCACATGGTGGCTAACAATCCTCTGTAACTGCAGTTCCATTTTTTTTCTGGCTCTTTTCATATGCTAATCTTGATGTCTCTCTCTCACAACCCTGTTCTCTTGCCATATTTTCCAGGAGGCTGTCATCCATGGTGGGTTGGAGTTTGCAATGATGCAACTGCTTTGGACCATGGTCCTGTAAGCAACTCCTCACCTATGCTTTATAAGTAAGCCCAAAAGTTATTGGTTTTACAATTTGGACTTGAGTAGAATTGTACTTTGGCCTGTCATTGGTGGCTTATCTGGGGTGAACAGATGTTTGAGCTTTTCTTCTCAGGAAAAGTTGTTACAACAGTGGACAATGGCCAGAGAGATCTTATTCCCAACTTGTGACTGATACGCCCTTTTAGATTAATTCTGAAAGGAGAGGACAATGGCATGTCCTTGTTTTTTACTAGGAAGCCTGCAGCTAGAAAGTGATTTTATGATCTTTCAGGCTATTTAGAACATCATGTATCCATGTACAGTCAGTGATACAACTTGCATTCTTTTGACTAGAAGCTAAAGTCCTGCAGTTTCAGTTCCAGATTTTATAGGCTGCTGATTACAGGGAGGTGTCCAAGCCTGATCATATCTGACTCGATACCTAACAGTATCAAAATTTTAAAAAAGAGAGAGATGCTAAATGTGATGGTCAATCTTTATTGTCAAAGTGATGGGATTTAGAATTACTTAGAAGACAAACCTGTGGGTGTGTCAGTGAGGGCATCATCAGGGAGGTTTGAGCTGAATGTGGGAGGAACCATTACAGGCTGAATGAATAGGAGCGAGCAGAGCTCCAGCATTCACTTCTCTCTGTGTGTCACAGCTAGAACTGCTCACTGCCATTTCTTTACCATCATGATGGACTGTACTGCCAAACTGGGAACGTAAAACGCTCTTTCTACCTTAAATTGTTTTTGTCAGGTATTTGACACAGCCATGAGAAAAGACAGGAACACATTAAAGAGTAGGAAATTATTGCTGGGCGTGGTGGCATGTGCCTTTAATCCCAGCACTCTCAAGGCAGAGGCAGGTGGATCTCTGTGAGTTCCAGGCCAGCCTGGTCTACTAGTGAATTCCAGGCCAGCTGGAGCTATAGGGAGACCCTGTCTCAAAAAGACTAAAATTAATAATGATAACAATAGGAAATTTTTAAGAAAGGACTAGGAATGTAGGTCAGATGAATGAAGGCCTGGGTTTGATTCCCAGCACCACATAAATTGGGTGTGGTAGTGCATGTCTACAAGCCCAGAACTCAGGAGGCAGAGGCAAGAGGATCAGAAGTTCGAGGTCATCCTCAGCTACATTAAGTGAATTCAAAGCCAGAGATACATGAGACCCTGTCATTAAAAAAGAAAAGAAAAAGAATTTGATTAAAAATTTTTTAGAGGGGCTAGAGAGAGAGCTCAGTGGTTAAGAGCACTTTGCTGCTCTTGCAGAGGACCTGAGTTCAGTTCCCAGCATCTACATAGTAACTCACAACTGCCTGTAACTCAAGTTTCAGGAGATTCAGTGCCCTCTTCTGACCTCCACAAGCACAAGGCATGTACATGGTTCATACATATTTATATACATGCAGATTACTCATACACAAAAATGAAAATAGAGAAATCTTTAAAAAGAAAATTTGGGGGCTGGAGATATAGCTCAGCAGACTTATAGGAGACCCAGATTTGAGTCCTAGCACCCATATGGTGGCAAATAACCATCCACAACTCCAGTTCCAGGGAATCTAATGCCCTCTTCTGTCCTCCTCAGGCACTACATGATATGGGTGCATGTGCATGCGCGCGCGCGCACACACACACACACACACACACACACACACAGATGTGACACTCATACACGTGAAATAAAATATAAAAAGGAGAAAAATTTAGAGATTGTGCAGAACTGAAGATAATTTCTGAGGGGTCAAACTTTTCTCAGCTTTTACTCTTGTTTACCCTTCTCTCACCTTGCCACTTCCTCCTTATTTATTGTCCTCTTCTACTCTTTTCTCTGGCAATCCCCAGGCAGAACAAAATTCTGTGTCAAAGGAAAAGGCATTTATAGCTGGAGAAAGGCACCAGTCACAGGGCTAACTAATACCATTTGTCCTTCTCTGGCTCTGCTTTGCCTCCTTAACTTTTCTTCTTGAGTCACTTGGTATACAAGGACTGATAACAAACATTTTTAACATGGGTCTCAAACTACCCTCAAGCAACAGGTGAGCCTGCAGGATAGACAGTGCTCAAATGAGGCAGTTGCCCGTGGTGGCAATTATCTCAGAAGAACCAGATTGCTCCAGTCAAGCAATGACAGTGATAATCAGTTCTGGTTCTTGAAGAACCAGACCACATCTTGACTAGGACTGCTTAGTTATGCATAAATCTTGCCCTTTCCCAACAGTTCTTTCTTGGCTTAAACCTAAAGCCCATGTCAGTGCCCTAAAGACAGATTTGGGGTCACTAGACTACAAAAGAAATTGCTCTTTCCACTGTGGCCACATTGAATAAATCTCATCTCTGATTTACACATTATGCATCTCTTTAATTGAC